ATTCATAAACACAATTTCAAATTTTTTTCACTATTATTAAGACATTTAAAATTTACTTATTTCTTTACAAACTTGTAGACTCCACAACTTTATCTAAATACTACTAGCATTTCCATCATATTGGTTTAGCCGTTAATCCAGACTGGCCAAGTTTAGAGTATTCTTCTCCATATCCAATAGGTAGCGCTGTATTCTAACTTAACAGCAGTTATTGTAGAAAAGGCCTCCGTTCCTTCTGTAGAGGCAACTGACCTTTTTTGAACTGCTGTAATTCCATTATACGAAAATGAAAACTCACTCTATTTTATGAAAAAATAAAAATACTTACGACTTAATAAAAAAGGTATTTTTTCATAGGGTGAGAGCCTTTAACGTTTATCATTGAAAGCATTAAAAGAAATACCTAACAATTCAAAAAATCTCAAACAATAATTTCATTCTAAAATACAGTAAAATTTTGAAAATATAAATTCAAAATATGTAAGATAAAATTATATGAATCAGAATTATAATATAACTATAAACATTAATTCTTCCTCTCTATGCTAAAATCGTAATAAATTCTCTGCATTGCGTCATTTCTAGATCACTCTATGGCCCGCGCAGCTCTGATGACGTAATAATTGTAAACCAAAACTTTTCTCTTTGCGTGCTTCCATCTTGCATAACTACACACTTCAGCTTTTGCTCTCTACTGTGCTAAGATGTAATTTCGCTGGCTTGCTTTCTATCTCAACAATATCAAAAATGTAAATCTTCTGTGGAAAGGCACGACTAGAGTGCCAAGTGATTGTGGCCACAAATATCAGTTGCCAATATAAAAAATGGAATTAAAACTGATTCGACTGCCAAGTTCTTTAGATATTACCAAGTTAGCATTACTAGCATACTACGCAATCAAAATCTTCTTCAATATGGGCCTAATCAAGCATCTACAGTGTTCCGTCTTTTCCTTTGTGCTTTTAATATGACAATTAAGCCAGTAGGATAGTTTCCTGCAGCCTGAAACTTCAATGGAAAATATAGTTCAGCTCTTCAAATCATCGTTTTGTGATAAATCCAAGATAATGTGAAAGAAGTGAATCATCAAATTTGTTTTTTCAGTGTTTAAAAAAATAACAGATCATTCTTCTGCTGTGGTGTTCTGCAAGTGCTTCAAAAAAAATAATCACGCGTAGTGTTCACAGATTGAAAGTAATCTCTCGATAAATTGAGAAGTTCGAATACCTAGTGAATTACCGTTTAGGAATTAAACATTACAGCGGGTTCAAGGTCGATCTGAGTTAGTGTTTGCAAGTATATGCGACAGAAAATTTTTTGCACTTCCACTTTTTCAACAGCTAAAAAATTATTACATTCGTGTGAATCTAGCTGAGGAACTAAATTATTTAATAAACTGCGGATTCTATAGTTTTCATTTCAACTTTGGTTAAAATTTCTGCAATTTGTTTTGAGAAAATCTGAAATTCTTGTTCATTAATTTTTCTAATTTTTCATAATTATGTGTGAGCAAATTAAGTTAAGAATTTTAAGCTATTTTAAATTATTCATAGGGAAGGATATTAAGATAAGTTTCTATGTTTTTGAAATTTTGTTGAGAATTTTGAATACGGATTTTATAATTATTCTAAAAATGAAGTAGGTGTAAAAAATAAGTGAAATCATTACAGATACGTAATATTAAATTATGGTAAATGCATGTTAAATTTATGGGTGATTGTATGTTAAGTATAGTGTATGTCAAGGGAGTACTGGGTTCCTAAGCAGAGGCCTGTAATTCTGTACATTTGTTCCCTTCACCCTCTACAAGTAAGATAATTTTGGAGGCTCTCATTTTATGAGTGTGTAATTTTTTTATATTATTATTAGTACAGTCAAAAGTCGTTAATTCGGACACCCATAATTCGGAATGATCTATAATCCGGACATAAAAACTAAAAACTTTCTGCGCATGCGCCGCGTTGACACATGCGCATAGGTGTTTAAGCGTGCACGTAAGACCTTTTATGACTGCACATATGAGTGTGCGCAAGTGCAGAATACGTTTCCGCATGCGCGTTTTATGTATAATGGACGTATAAGCTAAAATTATCTAATTATCTATTTCAGTTAATGTTGATGATTGCGTTGTTCCTTAATTTTCGAATTGGATCCGGCTTATTATTTTTTGCAGACTGTAAGAGCAATTTTATAAAAGTAAGCTTAAACTTTCGATTATATCAAATAGAATTTCCGATATATATTTGTTAATATGTAAAGGATCTAAAGCGAAAGTATGTTTTGAAATTCGAAATCTGTTTATCAATTTCACGCTGCTCGGCGGGGGGAACGCGCCGGCGTTGACTGTAGTAGTAGTATTTATTATGGAATGTATTAGTGCAGTTCTCAAAGGCCAGTTACCTTAATGCAAGGAACGGAGTCCTTTTCAAGTTACTGCCTAGGCACCCTGGGCCACCAGTGCAGAGAACACACTGGTTAGCTCAAGAGGACAGCCCTATTGATGGATATGTTTGTTTAGAAGTATTGTGAGGTTTCCAGTTTGGTAAAATTAGGAATTGTAAATGAAAGATGATAACGGTGAAACAATAAATTCTGAAAATCTTAATCCTATTATTTATGATGTTAAATTATAATTTATCAGTATGGAAATAAGTATAATAAATATTTATGTGCATTACATTTAATTATAAGTAATGATTATGTAAAAGTTTATTTGTGATATTCTGTAATAACAAGAACCTTCCCTGAAGAACTCTCAAACAAAAAGACTTTTGGACTGAAATGCTGAAAAATTCAATAGGACTCTAAAAATTAAAAATTATTTAAAAATTTAATATTTATAAATTATACTTTACAGACAAAAATTTTATGATTTTTTTTTTTTTTTTTTTTTTTTTTTTTACTTTTGCTAGTCCTTAAACTCTTTCTCTTTAAAAAGGCTTTCTCTGTAGCTACGCCTTTTTCTTTTTGAAGGGGGGGGAATATGTAAGATAAAATTATACGAACCAGAATTATAATATAACTATAAACATTAATTCTTCCTCACTATGCTAAAATCGTAATAACTTCTCTGCATTGCGTCATTTCTAGATCACTTTATGGCCCGCGCAGCTCTGATGACATAATAATTGTAAACCAAAACTTTTCTCTTCGCGTGCTTCCATCTTGCATAACTACGCACTTCAGCTTTTGCTCTCTACTGTGCTAAGATATAATTTCGCTGGCTTGCTTTCTATCTCAACAATATCAAAAATGTAAATCTTCTGTGGAAAGGCACGACTAGAGTGCCAAGTGATTGTGGCCACAAATATCAGTTGCCAATAAAAAATGGAATTAAAAGTGCCTCGACTGCCAAGTTCTTTAGATATTACCAAGTTAGCATTACTAGCATACTATGCAATCAAAATCTTCTTCAATATGGGTCTAATCACGCATCTACAGTGTTCCGTCTTTTCCTTTGTGCTTTTAATATGACATATATATATATGATTCCATACCAATGTGATTTCCTTTACATTGGTTAAAGTAATAGAACCTTAAAATTTCATGCTAAGGAGCAGGAGGCATATGTTTGGGCACATAAACTCTCTGTTGCCCAACAATGTTGGTCAAAAATTCCCATTTGCCTTCTTCTCTTTTTCTTTTTTGCATCCAGAAACTATTCAAAAAAACGTTTTACATTGGTGAATTAGATTTTCTAGAGGCGTTTTATGTTCATAAAAATCTTTAATTTCTTGTTAATGAACCCTATTCCAATCTGTCTTTACTCTAAGCTTTCAAGGAAATTATTTCCTAGCTGTTTTCCTTTCTAACCAATAGATGGCAGCAGCGCATTGACATCCTTCCTCTCATTCTTACTGCCTGAACACTGGCCACAGAATATATATCATTAAGAAGGACAACTTCTCCGAAACAGCAGTGGCTCCCTTCCAATGTAAAGGGAAGAAATATCTGGCGTCAAAGCTCGAAGCCGGTGTCGAAGTTCGAAAGTCACGTTATTAAGAGTTCATAAAATGAATATTGTTTAAAATTTCTTTAAAGGAAAAGAAAATATTTTCTCATGCAAGTACATTAATTAATGGATTAGTTCTTTTGAAAAAAAAAGTACAAAAATCCGAGTTTAAATTATTGCAAAAAGTCAAAGAAACGACATTTTGTCAAAGAATGTTTCTTCTTTGTTTCTCAATTTCTCAATCTCAATCAAAAGAGTGTTCCTCAATTTCCTGTACACATTGTGGAGAGGGAAATTCTCACCACCAGGTTCTGTAGAAAAATCCCTTGATGAATTTTCCTTCTGCTAGCAGCGTAATAGCAAACTGCTTTACATTACATCTATGGAACCTTTCCCTCTTTACATAGATGTTCTTTGAACTGACTTCTCTGCCATCATTTGCAGATCTGCAGCTGACAAAGAAGGTTCTATATTTAAACCTCCTAAACTAGGCCTACAAATTTATGAATATTGCACTTATTCTTTTTGCTTTAACTCCTCTAATAAATGTTATTCTCTTTTAATTTTGGTAAAATTGTATTCATAGGTAATTAATTACAAAAAAATATTCTAGGTTGGGGGGGGGAGATGAAAACGGAAATTGATAAAAAAAGAATTTTTATCCTTAGCAGCAATACAAAGTTGAATTATCAAAATACAGTAGAGTCTTGCTTATCCAGCATTCTGCTTCTCCAACATCATCAAAACATAATCAATTGGCAACAGAAACTGCAAGTTGTAAACATCATCTTTTTGTTGTTCCCAAACTCTATAACATGGCACACCTGTCTATACTATATGTCTGTTATTCAGTGCAGTGCACTTTATGCAAGAACAGAGAATGACAATAAAAAGAAAGAAAGCTGTAACAATGGAACAATAACTTTATACAGTCAAGAGATTACAAAGACAATAATACTTGTCTATCATGCTCTGCCATATCAGACACTACACAGACCGGTCCCAGCTGTATGTACCATCCATATCAGGATAGTCAAAAGTCCCCAGAGAGTTTGGAAGTATGCTAATCCCGCCACAAACCATGGGGGTCCCAATTCAAGATGGCAGCCTTCAAGAAAGTTTCTCTTTAACCCTCTCACTGTGTAATTTTTTTATCAAAATATGTTTAAAAAGTGCATATTTTTATTACATATTTAAAATCTACATATATGTTAGAGTTAAAATAGACAAACATTTTTTGAAAGAGTTTTTTAAATATAGAAATTATATACTTAATATAGAAATTTTTTAAATATAAAAATTATATATTCAATATAGAAATTATATTTTCAATAGATAATTTTGTTTTAATTATTAAATACTGTTTCTTAATTTTCTACAAATAATACTGTTTTTTAATTGCTTACAGGAAAAATATAAAACTGTTCATACTGAATTAAGAATAGGTGTAAAACTAACTTGCAAAGCTCTCGCCTCAGACGCCTTACGGATTTCTTGCCTAGCTCTGCCCATTGAGCCGAAGTCCATCCACACTGGAGAGTCATCGTTGCTCATTAAAACATTGGCAGGTTTCACATCTCTAATTAAAGTTTAATAACATAAAACAAAATCAGTATTAAACACATATTTATGACATGCTGAGAAAGGTAAATTATATTTTAAAAAGTCTGGATCAAGATGCCAATCATGTAAACCAAATATATAGTGTTCTAACTACTAAGGTAAAAGCAGCTATCACATGCTAAAATCATAAAATCTTATATACCATGAAATTTAATTTTTATAAGTGAAGGAATTTTTTTGTTATTATTACTAGTCCAAAGGGATTTGAGTCCCAAAGGACTATTACTTTCATTTTGGCATTTTGTGTCGAACTCCTATAAATGTTGGTTCACTTTTCAAACTGTTGCCACAAAATTTTAGAGTCCTGCATTATATTTAAAGAAATTAAATAATGAAAAATCTGCATAAATCTATGTTTATTTCTCACATTGTGATAAAACAACGGTATCTAGAGCCATCCAATTTTGAATTACATAATCCTACTGCGAATATGGGCATCCGAAATTTGAAATTTTGAATTTGTTTTAATATCGATTTTATATTTTGTAAAACTTTAACGAATTTTTGAGTAACAAACTCAATGATTTCCAAAGCGAGCAATGGCAACACACTTGTACAGGAGAAAAACCCTTTTATCTCCAGCGCGTCGAGACTGCTGTATCGGAAATTCTAAAGATAGGCTCATTTTAAAATTATTTTGCGATATTGCTCTTAATTAAGCAACAATCTTAAGCTGAATTTTATGGTTTAAGTGCAAAGAACATGATATTTAATAAATAAAGGTTAACACACAAAACGTTAAAAAAACACCCCTTTGGACGTAATTTAAAATCTGAAGCATTTATTTTATTTATTTATTATTTATTTATTTATTTATTTATTTTTATTTTTTTTTTTTTTTTTTTGTTTTTTTTTTTTTTTTTTTTTTTTTTTTTTTTTTCATTGTTTAAAAGTTTGCACTTTTTCAGTCAATAAAAAATAAATACATATAAATAAACCAAATCTAGGAAAGGATTTAGATTTCTGCAGTCACCCAAACGGCTCTTTCAAAGTTTAATATGGTTTATCAATACGGTAACCCAGCTGGAATAACAACACATTTTATAAGACACTAGATTAATATTATGCATCTTCTGTACATTTGAAAAGTGAAAAAATATATAATTTTATAAAAATGTTTAATGGTTTCAATGAATTAATTAAATGCAATTTTATTTAAATCAATTGGGTTTAAAAGTAAAAAAATAATAATAATATTCATAAGAAACTGCATCAATCGCTTTTAAATAGCTTAATTTGTTAAATTATAACAGACAGATTAAATTTGAAAAATGAATATCTTGCATGTTGCTGAATGACAACAGACTTGAATGAAAAATGCATCTACAGTGGAAGACATTTAAAGTGATATTAAGTAAATTGACATATAAAGTGAATTTAAAGGAAATGCATCTACAACGGATAATTTAAAGTGAAATAACACAAAATCGTAACATGCAACATAAACAAGTGTATTTCTTTGACACATTTTTATTCTTTTTGTCAGCAGAGTTGTAAAGTTCTACAACAAAAATCTGGTCCCGGGGTGGGGCGATAATCTTATTTCTTAATTTTTTTTTAATTGCTCAAGAAAAAAAAATCACCCATTCACCAAGTCTCCTCCAATTAATGAATTTGATTTCCATAGTCTTCAGATTTACCAAAATCATTAACTTATGTTAATAATTTTAATTTCAATCCTGTTCTTCAAGATAGATTTAAAGGCCTTGCATCATAATTCTACTTTCTTTTCAATTCTTCCCTCGATAATTTGATCCTTCCTCAATAAATAATATTACAATTGTTGTTTTATTTATATACCTTACTTAAGCTGTAAAATTTTGGGAAATTGGCATCCAAAAATTTGCTTTTTGGAAAAGACCTGCAAGAGATTTCTTTAAAATGCATATAATTTTTGCCAAAAATTACACTTAACTAGGTCTGGTTTTTTTTTATTTTTTAAAAAAATTCTTCAAGATATAAAAAAAACGCAATTTTGTTTTTTAATTGAAAAAAATTATAAATGTCTCCAATTCTGGAATTTATTTATTATTTGCAGGTCATCACGATTTCTAATATTGCTAATACTGCATAGAAAGCTACACTATATCTCAAATCATCATGAATTTGACAAAATAATAATAATAATAATAATAATTTTAAAATATTAAAGAAATAATTTGCACTTTTGAACAGCATTCTGGAGCTTCTTTAAAAATGGAATATTACTTCAAAAATGGAATATTACTTCAAGCATTTTTCAAAGGTAAAATGCTTGAGACATATTGTTTTAGAAAGCAAATAATAATTACCTATGAGCTAAAGGATAAGGTTGAGCATTGTGCATTATTCTAATACCTTCACACATTTGTCTGAAAATTCGCAAAATTCGTTCCTCTGGTATATGATTTTTGTTCTTAGCTCGAACAGTAAGCTCGTCTTGAAGTGTACCTTTCTAAGAAAAATACTATTTTAGTGAGTTTTTAAAGAAAAATTTTTTATACTACTGACATTCATACTCAAGTCAGAGATATTACCCAATTTTAGACATTAGGATGAAACAGTACAATAATAAACATATATGAAAAAGGAAATTTAACTCCATTATGCTGAATATTAATTATATCTTTCTACATCAATAAGACACACCAGTCCTCATGATTAGTAGAACTCCAAAGTGACTAACATGTTGATGGGCTTAAGTTTAGAACCAGGGGCAAGATGTAAATTTGGGACCGCAACATCTTTAATATGCAAACATATAAAAACCTGTCAATCCAAAATATGTTTCATCCAATCGTTCTTTTTTCCCCTCTCAAATACATTTTGCATTATAGGGAGATTTTATCTGCCAGGCACTTTTCAATCAAAAATGGGACAAGCTGAGAAAACTTGCAGAGTGGTAACACTACAAGTTTAAAACTTTATTTGCATTTACGTAACCTCCCCCCCCAAAAAAAACTGCAAAATTTTATTTGGGTTAAATTAAAAAAAAAGTTTGCTTGACAGAATATTTTATCTGAAACAGGTTTACAGGTTTTACAGAAATACAAAATTAAAAAATAATAAATCTAAGAATTTAAATGCTTTCTTGCTATATGTGTTATTACGAACAGCAACAAAGACCATCCTCTCCTTGACCTCCTTTTTTCATACACAAAAAATACAACAAACAGAACCTAGGAACTTATAAACAGTCAAGAAAAATCAGCGAAGATGAAATCATCTATGTAACAAAAAATATCATGTAGAGGTAAAATAATAAATAATACGGTAAATAATTCTTTTTGTTCTTTCTTAAATAATGAACACTTCTAATGGATGTCAATAAAATTAATTTTTCCATAGTTTCAACTGTTTAATAATTTCATAGGTTTAGTATAGCATAGTTTAAATAAAAAAATTTAGATTATATAAGTTTTTAACAAGTATAATAAAAATCAGAGTTTTTGAGTTTGGTGGGTTTAAAATCTTTTTATAAGTTTTGCTGCATGCACTGAATGCTCTATCCATGCTTTTTTCTCTTAAAAACACTTGTAATAAATAAAGTGATCAAAATGTTAGTACAGTTTTAAAAAATTATGAAATTAAACAAATGGATCTAATGTAATGCAGATAATTACGAGTAAGGAAAAATTTTTCGGTTGAGGGGAGTAGATGTTTAAACTTTTCACCAAGAAATGACATTGTGCTACATCCACAGCAATGATTACAGTCACTTAATGTCACAGTTATCATTTATATACATGCAACTGTTATTTATTACAAAAGTATTAGTTTAGCAATAGTAATTAAGAAACTATTTAGTGCAATTCTGGTTGTGATCAATGCTGTTTATATAAAGCAACATCCTCTATCCCCCCAGGAAAAAAAGCAGTGAAATTTCTCTAAGACCACCATTTACAGACCCAGATTATTCTGATCTTGTATCAAGGTCTTAGAAAGGCCACACTCCGCAGAAGGCATGGCCAATATGAATGGGAACACTGCATTTATCCCTGCCTAAAAAAATTTCCTTTCATGTCATGTAACCTGCATTTCATCATTATAATCTGTTATACACATTTAGTAATCTTAATTGGTACTTGGTATGTCTTTGGAGACTGATGCAGACAATGGTAAATTTTTACATAATTATATATTTAATTCAAAATAATTAATAGAATACTAATACACTTCAAAATGTTGTCTAAACAACATAGTAAATTTTATCAGGATTTTAATGAAAACAGTGTATAGAATAAGGGCAAATGTGACAAAAATACAGAAGTATTCTTCATGAAGAAAGTAATGCAAATATGTGAACTATAAAATGGCATTTCATTATTCTTACGCATTATCCATGCTTCTCTTACCCTATAATAAGGCAAAAGCAGTCTAACTTCACCCCGATTCATTCCATCACATTTTTCAACTAGAGAAACATCAATACATTTTATGATGTTAGGATGATTGAACATATTGTGATATTCAGCTTCTTTCATGGCACACCTTTCATCTTCCTTGCTATGACAAACAATGCGTTTCAAAGCATATGAACGATGAGTTTTTTGATCTTGAATTAAATCTACCACACTAAAACCTCTATAAGAAAGAACAATATGTGCATTATTATGACAAAAAATAAAATATGATTAAGTATAAAATTTCTACTTTAGCTATTTGAATATTACTTCAATAATAGTTTCTAAGATCTTTCCTTCTGTTATTATTGTGATTTATCAAAATATGTTTTTGCTTATAGGTATATTTTTGACATAATAAAGATCATATAATGTGCATGCATTGAATATCTGCCTTTTGCCAAACACTCATAGAACTACTTTAAAAAGGCAACATTTTGTAAATTGCATAAAGGATTCAAAATGTAAGTTAGAAATGTTGCTATTACTTGGCAGAATTGTGCTACAAGGCTAGTGCATAAAATAAAGTGCCTATTTATGCCTTCTTAAGAAAATAATTTCTTTGTAAAAACATTATCAGGTGTATTACTATGAAAAGACAAATGACGAAAATTTCTAAACGTACTAAAATTTATCACCAAATTACAGAAACATTAAGGGGGGAGTACGTCATTACCATTTATAATCAAATGGTGCTAGCAGTCAAAAACCTTAACTGATGATGACTTCAAGGATGGTAATCATGTTTCACATCATAAGACATTAAACTGCAGATTGATGAAATGATTCATAATAATCTCAAAAATTGCATAGTAGTTAATTTCTGACTATATGACAGTCTGCAAACAAAGAGAACAGGTGCAGAAACTAGTTCTATGATAGCTTCATGATTAAAAAGCAGATTTCTAGCAACAAAGAATCAAATTTCAGTTGAATCTTGAAGTAACTACTTACAAATTTTGGGTGACTACTTTGAAAAGTAGTGTGATATATGTGTGTCATACTACATAGTAATGTTCCCTCAATAAAATTTTCATAACCCACAATAATCATATCTAACTTGCTTTTTGAATCTTCTTGTAATTTCATAAAATGTGATTAAATAATAATAATAATAACAGAAAAGTAAATATAATTTTCTGGTAATGTTAAAAGAAATAATATTACTTTAAGTTTACATTAACAAATAACAGTATTGCCAAAAAAATGCAAAATAAATCAAAATCAAACCACTGTAATGTCAGAAAACATAAAAACATTTATTTTTGCACTGAATTCTCATTTTTATTAAAAAAATGTTTTTAATTCAAAATTTAACAGAAAAAATTCAAAAACATGTACTGTTATGAATTTTGTATTTAGATAGCTAATTTTAGTAGAATTATAATTGTTGCATTTCTCCGAGCAACCCAGCATGAGACAAATTTTGAGAGAAAGCTATGTTAGAAAAGTAAGAATACAGGGGCATGTGCATTTAACTTTGAAAAAATGGATATCTCGGTAATTTGTATTGAAATTGAATTAATATAATTGACCAATTTGTTAGCTGTAATCATAATTCAACACCCCTTTTGCTTTCTAGAAATCTTGAGAAGAAGAAAATACTACAAAGATCTTGTGCGGCAGCTGAAATCTATAAAAGGCCAGAAAGAGGGCGTCTGAGTTAGTTGCTTAGTTACTGCAGTTGCAATTTGTTTAGTTCCATGTGAACTGAGATATCTGAATTAGCTTTCTCTTTAGATAACACGTTGATTTGCATTGTATTTTAACATTTTTGGTATTTTGAAGTATAACTACTGTGTGATATTGTGGACAGTTGCACGGATATCTCTGAGGAAAATTCAAGCATTCTGATATATTTCTTTTGATAAGAATAAATTTTTATTAACTTATTACTGGACTTGTGCATTCAATCTATTACGAACCCATATGCACCCAACAATACTAAACAATTTTGTATGTTATGTTATAGAAAAGATAATGGCAGTTTTAATGAAGTGGAACAGCAACTCCACCAGAATTTCTAGAAGTCCCTTAAGCTTGACATATAAACAATATGTTTATTATTTTTTAAAAAGTTTACTAGTAGTGCTAGGACATTTTAAAAACTAGATCCTCTTGCAACTCCAACCTATATAAAATTATAAATCACTCCTTGAATTATTATTATTATTATTATATTTTTTTTTTTTTTTTTTTTTTTTTTTTTTTTTTCACTTTTGAATGAACAAAATACTTTTCCTTTCATTTGAATAAATTATTTGTTCTAAGATTTATATTTTAAACATTTATTTCAGCTTCTTTCATTCTGCTTTTATTTCTTTCTTCAACTACAAAATACACTTAATATTCAATCAAAATATTTCTGCATTAAATATAAAGAAATAAGTTACTAGAGTCACTGATGCAATCATTATTATATACAGCTTGACCCTTTCAGCTAAAGAAGTAACTGGTTATTAACTCAGACAAAATAAATACAACAGCAACTTCATATAATTTAAATATTTCATTTTTGAGGATTGTGTATTTAACAGAGTGCATTTAATTCTGTGATTCCTGACTGCTTTAATTAATTAAAGTAATTGATTTGAGTAAGTATAAAGAACACAGTGTTCATTAATTTTAAACATAAAAACAATGTCTTACTTAGGAAGAGCTCGTAAGGAAGATTTGCAAAATCTTGCGGCTGAACTGGAAGTTCATGTGAATGCAGATTTGAAAATAGTCGATTTAAAACAGAAAATTGTTGAAAGTAAAGATTATGATGAAGTATTCATCAAAGGAGTCTTAGACATAATAATACAAGAATGAAAAGTGAGGGAGGAAAGAGAAGAACGTAGGAGGCAGGAAGAAGATGAAGAGCGGAGAAGGAAAGAACAATATGAATTACAGCGATTACGATTTGAAGCAGACAAAGTCTCAAACTACCGGATAGATCCGGGCGAAAACGGAGCTGCATCAAATTATGCAGAAATTCGATGACAAGAAAAGAGATATCAGCCTATATTTGCTACTGTTTGAAAAAAAGCAGAATGGGCTCAAATTGATAAAGAAGAATTTGTATCTCATTTACTAGGACTACTTCCTTACGAAGTAACATAGTTAATAGCTAGAGAACTCTCCAATAAAGCTAAAGACTATAAACACATGAAGAATTTACTGTTAAGATGGTTTAGGCTATGGCCGGAAAAGTTTAGGCAAAAATTTATGAAACATCAAAAGAGTACTGAATCCACATGGGTGGATTTCAACTATGAAATAGAAAATTATTGCAAAGAATGGGTGACTAGTCTAGGAGTTGAGACTTTTGATCAGTTGCTAGATTTGATGGTGATTGGCCAACTTAAACTTAGAGTTCCTCCTGAAATTTGAGATCATTTTCTTGATGAGTGGGTAGAGATGATTTCATCTAAAAAAATTAGCTGAAAAACTTGATGCCTATGAAAATGTTCGCAGAAACTTTCAAAAAAGGCTGTAGTGGATCAGCAGAAAGAAAGATACAATGCACTAACGCAAAGTAAAGGAAGTTCAGATAATAAAAATAAAACTGGAAAAAAAAAAAAAATTGTCATCAGGATTTAATTCGCAAAGCTGGTTCCATAAAATTCCTATATTAAGGGATTCAGGTGCTAGTATTGATATAGTTTGTCGCAAATACATCACACCGGAAATGCTGACAGATGAAAATGTGTGGATGCAACAGCCATTAGATTTGAATCCAACCTGTTTACCATTGGCTGAGGTCGAACAAAATTGCGATCTTAGGCGAGTAATAACTAAGGCTGCCATTATTAGAAATGAACTTGACAAAGGAAGGTATTTACATACTTGCCAACCTATGACACTCAAAAATCAGGAGACTTTTTTAAGAAATCAGGAGATTTTTCACAATGTTAAAAAGACTTTTTAAATGATAAAAATATAGTTTTTAATAATGAATTAACTTTAAATAGTTACAAATTTTTAAATGCAAGCAACACAAAAATACTTTACTCATAAAAAACATTTTTATTACTTGCATCGTTTGGGGGGGGGAAGACATTTTAATCAGTTTTCGTACAAATGTTATGAACAGTGGCAGATTTTGCTTTCGTTAAGAAAGAAACTTCATAATTTTGTTCATAGCAATTGCCATGTAGGTCTGCTTTCGCTAATAAAAGTTTTTCTAATGCGCCATCACTAATATTAGTTATGCAACTGTTGGAACTGTTTCAATTTTTCCTTCCTTTTAGAACTCCTTTCAAGATAATGATAAATATCAACAATGTGTTTTGGTCCTTGCACATGAGTATTTCTTAGCAATTTCACTATCGGGAAACATTTTTCTAAATAAAGCTGCAGCATGATCCGATGCATTCAGTGGCAGGTTGTGCTCCAGTAAAAAGGCAGAGAACAGACATTCTGCATTAATAACTTTTTGATCCTTTGTTTCCGAAGAAAAATTCAATTTTTCGTTTTTTTCAAAACAACTCATGTTGTCCTTGTGTTTTTGTGTATGCACATGTTTGAGAACATCCGCCCTTCCACTATGCGAAATCAAAAAAATTGCAACGACAGACAGTACACATCGCAAATTTATTACATTTCCTTGAGAAAATAATGGAAGGAAAGTCAACTGTGTATGATTTTTGAAACGTACACGAGTATTTCACCTTTCTTGCAGAGATAACAAAAGATGATAATTTCTAAAACTATTTCCCGAAGGCACGCAACTCAGGACTCACACAACTCAGGACAAGATGAACGAATTAACTAAAGAACATACAAATAACAGCCTTGAGCTTGCTTTGTGTTCATTGGCTGATATATGCCAGATGACACGCAGTGGAGCTCGATGCCCATTGGAAAACTGGAGAAGGACGTTTCTGGATACGTATACTCTCACTCACAAAGCAGAAAAAATTCTCATCTGATTCGCAAGGTTTTGTTTAAGATAAAATTCAATTGCTTTCAGACGTCCAAAATCTGGTTTTTTTTTTTTTTTTTTTTTTTTTTTTTTTTTTTTTTTTTTTTTTTTTTTTTTTTTTTTTTTTTTTTTTTTTTTTTTTTTTTTTTTTTTTTTTTTTTTGTTTTTTTTTTTTTTTTTTTTTTTGTTTTTTTTTTTTTTTTTTTTCTTTTTTTTTTTTTTTTTTTTTTTTTTTTTTTTTTTTTTTTTTTTTTTTTTGTTTTTTTTTTTTT